CGATCGGAAAGAGGCGCGGCGCGGGTTATTCTCGAGCGCGCGGCTTATGCTAAGTTTGTTTATTTTCGGGTCCTTGGCTTGGCGTGCGCGTGCGAGCGCGCCGTGTCGCCGTGTCGTCCCCCCCGTGCCGTGTCGCACCACGTGCCTCGTGCCGCGGGTGTGGGACGCGCGCGCGCGGGAGGGAGGGCTATTCCCGCCCGGGGTGTCACCGCCCAATCCTCATGCCCCGCCCCCACCTCCACCGACAAACGACTGTCAAGAGTTCCTCAACAGTAAATCCTGGCATGTTCAAGTCACCGCCGAGGGTGTGCCACATTTACTATGCTCACCCGCCGAATTATTGTCATTTTCGATGTCCCTTCTCTACGGGGTGACTCACCCTACCTAGGCCCGCGCGGAGCCGGGAAGGAACTCGCGGGCGGCTCCTGCTTGTTGATCGTTACGATCCCCGCTGTCGAAGTCGGAGGAGAACGTACGCGAACTCGCGGGCATCTCCGAGATTCGCGAAGGACTGCTGGAAAGCAAGCAAATAACCAGTGCTTAACGCCGCGCATTTGCAATGTATAAGCTGTTGCGAAGGGTCTGCCTATCCACTCCACGGACCAGCAGGGTGAATGAGTTATGAGTCACCCTGTATTAGCGAGACACTCGACTGCGGTATGGCGAGCGAAGTGATCGGATCAAAGGGCGCACTATTGGTTCACCAGACGACGCAGACCGCAGACTCGCGGCTGTGGTGTGGTCTGCTCGCGGGGGGACCCGGTGGAGGTCTTCCCGCATACTTTTTGCCCTCTGCGGGGTCGGCGCCGGCGTATGGCCTCAATCGCCAGGACAATGGCAGTACAGAGAATTTCAGAACTTATTTGCAAGTACCCGGGTACACAGTACCAGTCCACCGGAAGAAGTCGCGCCCAGCAAACGGCTGCACCGATACCGCCAAAACGGTTTCGCACTTTATTTGACACCCCCGCCCCCGCTCGCGGGATTGATCAACACTAAGCCGGGCGATAGCCGCATCCTGACGCCCCCGAGCCGAGTCCGCCTGACGCACACGGCGGCGCCGCCCGGAAGTGCACAAGCGCGCCTTTGTTTGAACAGTGGGCGCCACCGGGTGATATCCCGCCGGCTCCCCCGCCCACACATTCGGGATTTTGATGCACTGTGACGCACAGACCCTTTCCCCCCTCCTGGCCGTGTGGGCGGGGGGCGGGCCGGCGCGGGGGCGCTGCTGCCGGTCGGAGGATGATAATCCCCTGCTTGAAGAGGACCCGCGCGCCGCCGCCAAAGTGATTCGCTGTCTGGGCCCCGCGGTAGGCGGCCGCACTGGCGCGCACGCTCTCCCCTTCCGCGCCCTTTGTAGGTTGTGCCTCCCTCTACTCCCCGGACGGGGCGGATCGGCCTCTTTGCCGCGCGGCTCCCCAGGCTCCCCAGTCTCCCCCGGGGGCGCGGTGCCCTGGCGGTGCAATCGGCTGTGGAACAGCCGCGGCCTACATTCCGGTACTTGTTGTCTAGCCTGCGCTATCTCGCGCTCCTCCTTCGCTTCTTCTTTCTCCTTCTTTATTCTCTCCCAGTTTCCTCCGCGATGTGTGTGTGTGTGTGTGACGGCCGCCCTGCTGCCCTGCGGGGTGCAAAGTGCAACGGCCCCTCCCCGCCCCACCACGCTCCACCCCACTCCGCTCGGCCGCAA